TTAAATATAACGTGTTGTCTATATTTTATTTAAAGTTGCGCATTTTGACGTGACGTCACATTTCTCAACACCCCCCCCATCACACATCGTCACGAAGGTCTGACCCCCCCCCCCCTAGGTGCGTGACGTCATTTATGAACGGCCCCAAACTCTAAATATACAGGCGTCAGGATCGAGATCGAACCTACGACCTTCTGCATTCCAGGCGAGGCAGTTAACATCCTCGTCGCTGTGGTGCCCCTAGCAACGATCCCAATAAAATAAAGTCGAGAGTTTCTGTGAGGCTTTAATGGATACATCCATAGATATCAGCCACGCTGGTGGGCATCATTAATGAGATGCACACGTTCAGAGGCAGCACAGCAAGTAGATTGCTGTGTCAAGTGAGATGCAGTGTTCCCTTCTTGATTGTGCGCCGTTTCACGTTTTCTCGTCTCGCCAGTGCTCATGATCGTATGAGGGTTGAGGCTCTCTCAGGCAAATAGAGAACTGATTACGAAAAAAGAATCAGGGCAGAGGTGATAAGGTGCTGATCTCGTCACACGCTGAACTGACGCTAAGATCATCGATTTGCGTCGAGGTTTCTGCCACTGTCTGCGACTAAACCCGATTCTCAATGACGAGCTGATCACACGAGGGTCTCCAATGACTGCTCCACTTCTTACATTCACTTTTATTCACCTAATTTGGCTAAAATTGTCGGTTGCATTGCTATTTCAGCCACCTGTGATTTAAACCCCGTTCTCAACAGCAGTCGGTTAAATATGATTAGGCTCATGCTGGTACCCAATGTTAACAAAAAAAAAACAACCACATTGAATTTAGCTTTTAACTTTATTTCGCAGAGAAACATTGGCTCGACCAGCGGTTCTTCATCTGGGCTGCGAGATGCCCTTTCTGTGGGGGGTGCGAGACGTAGCCAAATTTTTCTTAGAAGCTAAATCATCGAAAGACAAACATAGCACGGGCACGTGGTACAACTGCTTTGTTTCATCAATCATATTTATTGATTAATATTATAAAAACAAAACCTATTGAGAACCAAAGGAGGAGGGGGGGGGTGCAAGGCCGCAGTAAAGGTTATAAGAACCACTGGGATCGACTGTATTGCTGATCGATATATCGATATGTATCAGCGTGCGTGTGGAAAGTGCGCCCCCTAGTGGAGATAAGGCGCCGCGCTTGCAGGATCTCAGAAGTAGTTCTGTGATGCAGTCTTCGCTTCCGTGGACCGTTCCCGTGGCCCATCGACGCGCTATAACTTCGCCTATACGCGAATTGTGTTTTATTTCTCCAGGTAAGGCCCACTGAGCTATGAAGCTCTTCTTTTGAGAAGCTCGACAAAGTGGATTATCGTGGGGGAATTTATTGCCGTCAAACACTCTAAACGCGCGTTTAGAGTAAATACTCTAAACGCGTGTTTAGAGTATTTGACGGCTATAAAAACCGGAGGACCCGGATAAAATCCACGCAAGCACAGGGAGAACACTCAGACTCCAAATATACAGCAGCAGGCGTCAGGGCGGGATCGAACCCACGACCCCCCAGGCGAGGTAGTTAACATCTCCTAGCCACCGTGGCACCCCTACAAGCGACATAGAACGTACATCACAACTGATTCCCCTTCACTGCCCTCTGCTGACCGCCAAGTAGCCCAGCCCAGAGGCAGCCTGGAACAACCAGGCGTGGGTGGCGATCACGCGCCACCCATCCGAGAAATGTCCAGGCTCAACACTTGCTTAGCTTCAGAGACCGGGCGCATTCTCGGTGACTGTCACAAAGGCAGGGCCAGAAAGGCGATGTTTTATTACAAATGCTGTTTAGCGAGCACCTAGTGAAGGCTGCAGCGGCACACGAGGGGGTTGTGTGTTCAGCACCACGCTCGATCGACTCACCTTTCTCTCCCCAGTGGCGATTATTTTACAAAGCGCACCCAGGCACTCGGTTGAGGCGGAGTCGACCTAGGGGAGGCTTGGGACAAGTGGTTCGGATAATCGTCATTGTGGTGTTGGTGGCCGTGAGCGGGAACTCGAGTTGGCCGGGTTCGTAGAGCAGCGCACGCAGCACGCGAGCCGCTACGCCACCCGCCTCCCCACATTGTTTTATCACACGCAAAGACAAAGATCCCCCGTATAGCCCCAACAGACTGTAGGGGCAAGTGCTGTTAGCGAGCACCTATGAAGGCCTGCAACGGCACACGAGGGGGTGGGTGGCCAGCACCACGCCCGGCTGCCTTTGTCTCCCCAGTGGCGATGTTTACACATCGCACCAGTTACTCATTTGAGGCTGAGTCCACCTAGGTGAGGCCCAGGACCATTTCAGATAATCGTCACCGGTGTTGATCATGAGCGGGAATCGCCGGGTTCGTAGCGCAGTGCGCTAAACGCTACACTGCCGCTCCCCGCACACACGCACATCCTTATACTGTATACACACAGAGCAGCCAGGCACTACCCCGCTCATTTGGTGGTTCTGAAGAAGAAGAAAAAACAACAAGCCTCGCATTGATTTTTGCATCACAGCGAACGGCTCGGCACAAAGAGGCGGGGTCCAGCGCCCGGATCGGCAGACCGCGGGCCGCGGGGTCTCGCATCGCAGCCGCGCGCTGCTGCGAAACAGTTGCGATCCACTGCTGCGTGGATGACTTGCCTTAGACACCCCCACACACACAGTGCTGTGAAACAGCTGCGATGCACTGCTGCATAGATGACTTGCCTTAGACACCACACACACAGTGCTGTGAAACAGCTGCGATGCACTGCTGCATAGATGACTTGCCTTAGACACCACACACACACAGTGCTGTGAAACAGTTGCCATCCACTGCTGCGTGGATGACTTGCCTTAGACACCCCCCCACCACACACACACGCGCACTGCTGGGTCGTACGGGGTCGGTGGGGGGTAGCCGAGTTGATTGACCATACTTCACCACCACGCTGGTAAGTCGGGGGCTGGCTTGGTGAAAAGGAGCGCAGAGCGACGAAATGGGGTGCAAGAGGGGGTTTGTTTGGTGGAGGAACGGTTCGTAGCAAATCATTGTATGCTCTATGATTGAGGGGCATTGCTCGAAACGTCGCACATATATTGCCTTTTGGGCAGTGTTATTACCGAATGTGAGTACTCCAGATAGCAATGCGCTACAGTATTTATACATTTTTCAGTCGTTGGATTGACCGCCTCCGGTCTGTCTCCACGCGGCGCTGAATTTGGCATCGTTCACTGGGGGTGCTCATTGGATGCGGAGTCGGACCATCCCCCCTCGCTGATTCTATTATCCCTCGTCTGGAGTCGAACGCAGACGGCTGCCGACATTACCTACATATCCTACATGTCAGTGCAATGCGCGCTATGCCACGGGCGTCTCCGCGGAATGGAGCCACATAATCTATGATTTAAACAATGACATCGACACAAACACACACACACTTCGCTCTTCCCGTGTGACTATTGTACCGTACCAGCCTCGCCCCTTCCTCCAAGCCTCCACGTAGCCTGTCGTCCCGGTGTGTCGAGACGACACACGGCATCGTAGCATCGAGGGTTTGAGTGCTGCGTGTCCTCGGCTGCCACTGTTGCGACTTCTCCTGACGTGCGCGTCTGTCGGAGATCACTCGAGCTTTTCGGTTTAAGAGACGTAAGTGTTTAAGGAGCACGTTGCCAACAATTCAACCACGCTGTTCAAAGTACCGTCTAATAATAATAACAATACGTCTCTAATACTGCATTGGCCGATAACTCGTGTTCACACGTTGTGCACGCTGACGGCTGGAGAGGTGTTTGCGGTGGTTAGCGCACGGCGCTCACATGAGTTCGATTCCCGGCCACGGTTCACATAAATGTCAAGCGATATCTGAGCTGCTCCTGGGCATCTCCATGACCAACTCGGAGTTGTCCAGCGTGGTGAAGTGTGGTTCAGCTGCCACGCCGTGACCAACACAGTGCGGTTGGAGGTCTTCATCCAGCAGTGCATTGCCGAAGAGCTGTAAATGATGATGATGAGAGTTTGCACTTACTGTTTAAATTCGTGTGAGAGAACACATGGGGAGCGGCGGCGCAGCAATTCACGAAACGCACTAAGATCCCTGCCTCCCTAGGTTCGACTGCCGGTGGACATCAGTGGCATCTGAAATCAGAACCTGGTCTGGGCCTCCGCTAGGTTGCCTCAGCCTTAAATGTCGTGCCTGTGGCCGTGCTTGTGGTCTTCAACACTGGGGATACATCTTGACTTAAAGCTTTCGTGACTGCAGGAATAAATATTCTTTGGGTCTTTCAGTAAAGTCACGTAGATGGTTCAAATAAAATAACAAAAAATTTCGACGTTTCGATCACAACACATCCTGATGACGGTCGCTTGTGTTGTGATCGAAACGTCGTAGTTTTTTGTTATTTAAATTTGAACCTATCTACGTGGCTTTACCGAAAAACCCTAAGAATGCTGGGGATGCAAATGGGGTCGGGCGTTTTACAGACGGACACTGCGCTCCGATCCCGGTTCAGTTGCCGGGTTCAATCCGTGGTCGTGCACAACATCTGAACCTGTCGAGCCCTCCACATCGGTTGACTCGGCCCGACATGAGCGTGTCGTCTGAATCGGCACGAGGGGAAACAAACACGGCCTGGGAGTGCGCGGTGCTACCTGCTCCACACATCAACTGGCTGGTGCGCTGCTCCGGCTTTAATAGGTGCTCGCTAACAACACTTGCTGCTGCCGTCTGCAAGGTGAATCGAGACGTGGCTGTCGATGTGCGTGCGGCAGCGAGAGCGAGAGAGGATGGGGGGGGGGGGGGTATGGAAGCAGAGAAGTGTTGCTGCTGCTGCTGCTGGCGGTGGGAGGGATGCAAAGAATGCACCAAGGTAGCATCATAAATCATAACTTTGGGGGAGGGGGGCGGTGGGGGTCTGGAGGGGGGCCACGCGGTTTTTGTTGCGCGAAAAAATCCTCACAGCGCTCGCTCTCCCCTTGCTACATCGCATTCACCCTCCTCCTCCCTCCTCCTCATCCTCTCCCTCTCTCCAATCGCTCTCTTGACACATCACTCCCCACTCGCTGCACACAGCCACGAACCCGCGCAGGAGTAATAAGCTCTTATAAACTGCGCTGGATGTGTAGAGGCTAAGGGAAGAAAATAGTGTGCGTCTGTGAATTAACTAACAACATTAATGCTTCGGTCATTACAGCAGCCAATGTGTTGTGCGTGTGTCTATACACATTGACAGACACGCAGACAGACAAGACACACGGACAGACAGTGGCAGACTTACTCGCATTCAGATACATAGGGACACAGCCATACATACAGGCAAACAGACACGCAGAGACAGACACGCACACAAACACACGGACACACAGACAGGGACACGTACAGGCAGACAGAGACATCTGTGAGCACACCGCATGGATTTGCGCGTTCAAATCCGCAAAGGACCAGGATGTTACGACTGGTGATGAACGGAGGAAGCGCTTCATTGCCATCATCATCATCATCGCCACCGTCGTCAATCACATCGTCACCGGCATCGTTGTCGTCGCCGTCGAAGAGACGGGGAGGCGTGTGGAGGCTCGAGGGGTCGCGCGCCGCAGACACGTGCTCCTCGTAGGGGGGAGTGCTCTGAGGGGTGCACCGAGACAAGTGGGCGCCTCTATGCCGGAGAGGAGCGCTGAGCGGCAGCTGTCAATGAGAGAGGTGAGACGATGGTCATCCGTAATGTGGGCGATGCGTTGAACGGTACGCACGTGTGTGTGCATGCGTGTGTGCGTGCGCGCAAATTCATACGTAGAACAGTTGTCCATTCGGCGCGACACCCTGAACAGTGTGTATAGGTGTGCTGTGTGTGTGTGCGCGCACGCTAATCACATCTTTGAAACAGTTGTCCATTCGGCGCGACACACTGAACAGTGTGCATGTGCGGCGTGTGCACAGAGCAGTGGCGACGTGGTTAGCGCAGTGCCCTAAGCACCGGGAGTTTGATTCGCGACCACGGCTCACAACGGTGACGAGTAATCTCCGAACCTGTTCTGGTCCTCCCCCCCCTGGGTCGACTCAGCCTGCACAATCGAGCGGCGCGGTGGGGTAATGAACACCGGCGACGGGGGAGACGACGGCTCCCGTCTCGTGCGAGCGCCGTGGGTGCGCGCTATCGGGCCCCAACAGTCGGCGGAGACAGCACGGGGGGGGAGGAGGAGGAGGGGGGGGGTCTCAGACGACGTCTGGCGCTTGCCAATTCATGCACGGACCAGTTTCTTTACCGCGAGAAAGCCGATACATTTCACCGTGGCCCTCTGCATCGGTCCGTGTGTTTGCTAACACAATGGCACAATTGTCGGTGAGAAAGACGGTAAATAGAGCTCGGGTGCGTAATAGGCTTGGAGCTATGTATAAATGTGTCTGTGCGCGCGCGTGTGTGTGTGTGTGTGTTGGTGAAGGTAGTAACAAAAAAGAGTTACGATATCGAATGCGCCTTGAAGAGTCTGTGGTCGTGGGTTGTGTGCGTTTGCAAGTTCCGCGCATAGAACAGTCGACACCTGAGAAAGGTGATACAATTGCGATATTTGTTGAATACAGTAGTAGCGAGGTCGCGTGAGCACAAGTGCATTTCTCATTCTTAATTCGGTTGGATACATGTCACCACCTTGGGAGACAAAAGCGGCCGGGCGTGGTACTGGCCACATCGCATCCCACGTGCGAAGCTCCAGTATCGATATCTGCTCGCCAATCTAACTCCAAGTCCACAGAAGGGGAGGGCGGATGCCTCCAATGTGTCTCGATGTGTACGCGTGGCCGTCTCGTCGTGACGAACGCTTAACGCGTTGAGCCTGGAGAGCGTTCTGGATGGGCGAACCGGGTGCACAACACAGGTGCTCTAGGCTGCTGCAGGGCTACGTTGTTGGCAGCAGGCGGCAATGCCGTAACATCCATTGTTGTACTGCACACCTGTGCTCTCTCACAACCTAAGCTTTCCGGGATCAAATATCCCTCGTGGCCGGAAAGGAATACATGGAGGCCCTCATCCAGCAGTGGATTGACACACGGACTGTGCGTGTACTGCACTGAACTGTCACCAATAGATTAGGTGGAGAGTGGCTGCCCATTGCGATTTAACAATACACCTACATATACAGATGAGTGCGCGCGCCAATACGAACACGCGCACACAAGCGGGGGGGAAGGTGCAACGTGTCAATGCGCATGTGCCCAGAGTAGATGTTAATCCTGGGGGTGCCGTTTAATGTCTGGACTTGTCCAGAGCATCGCCTAGGACGACTCGAGCCTTAAATGAGTACCTGATGCGGTGGGTAAACGTTATCAATGGGGAGAGACAAAGGCGGAATGCAATGTATACTGCAGACCACAGCCGTGCCTGTCAGTAACAGATGCTCGCTAGCAACGCTCGCCCCCCGCAATTAATACATAACAGGATGTTCTTTGCTTTAGAATACTTTGAGCACGTGTGTAGACGTTGGACGATGGTGGCTGGGTACGTCAGGAATCGAGGACTGTGGAGGTAGCGAGGGTTGATGGATCACCGCACAAATCACGTGAAAATCCCTTTCAGTCCGGGCCAGATTAATATTTTGTAGGCCCCTGGGCTACAGGCACTGTGAGGCCCCCGGTAATATTTCCAAAAGGAAAAGAAAGTAAAAAAAAAATATTACAAGGCTAACAACAAATTAAAATTCAGCATTCACAAATGAAATAACTTTTCACTTCTTCATCTCTGGAGGTCCTCCAGCTGGTGGAGGCCCCTGGGCTCCAGCCACCAAAGCCCCGTGCCTTAACCCGGCCCTGCTTCTAGTGGGCGTCGAGGAGGAGGAGGTGTCCGTGCCCTGGCTCGCCAGGGAATGCACGCAGCAAAAATAATTGACTCCACGCGTTGAGTCTGCACGGGATAGAGTGTTTCCCCCTCGCACGCGTGGATTTTCTTCGAGAGCTCCCGTTTCCTCCAACGTGTTCTAACCACGCATTGATTGTCCGACAACGCCTTCATATATAGAGCGCCGCAGAGCTTGAGCAATTGTTGGCGCTGGCTACCGCGTAGCTGCCATCCGGCTTGTCGATTTGCCAGCGCCTCCGAGTCGTTTTCTCTCTTCACGAGTGAGCGAACACTACGTACATTATGCGTTGTAATTATTACAACTGTAGTCCATATTGTTTCGTAGACTCATTGCGTTCTATGTAGCATTATAATGAATTACATTGTCTCATGGTTGTGTGGATGCGCTCACACGCACATATAGCAGTTGTTCAAAATTGTGGGGATATTTAATTACAAGTACGGTAATTAATAGTGCATTCTTCTATATTTACTCCCATATAAATATATAACAGCACAACTGGCAATTACGCGCCAATTATTTACCCAAGAGAGCGCTTGGGGGCCGTCCATAAATGACGTCACGCACCTAGGGGGGGGGGGTCATACATTTGTGACGATGTGTGACGAGGGGGGGGGGGGTTGAGAAATGTGACGTCACATCAAAATGCGCAAAATAAATATAGACAACACGTTCTACTTAATTAAATAGACTTTGTAATACATGTTTTCTCCTACAACATCAGAGTGCAGCGCCACATTAAATACGCACTACAATGACAATAGTTTAAAGCGATTTGAAGCACGTTTTATTTTCAAAATGGAAATATGGTTTTGGGGGGGGGGGCAGAGCTTTGTGACGTCACATTTGATGGGGGGGAGGTCTGACTTTTTGTGACGCCGTGTGACGAAGGGGTGGGGGGGGGGAATCGCCTAAAATCGCGTGACGTCATTTATTGACGACCCCTTGGTCTCAAGAAACCAGCGAGCATCCCGCGGGGGTGACCACTCGGCATTGCCGACATCACCTGGCCGCATGGCAGACGCACGCCGACATCACGTGGCATGCGCCTGTGGCTACCCAAGCAAGTGCTGGACACCAGGCTCAAGCCGGCTTAGCTCTCGAGGTCCGGACAATGGGTGCTCTGTCCAGTTGCCTATTCGCTTTTTATTCCAATCGTATCTGGCAATAGAGGACTGTGCACGTTCACTCAGCGGCTGTCGGTGACACATTGGATGGGCAGGCCCATGACTAAGGCGCGCATCGTGTGGACAGGCTGGGCTGCGAGGTGTGTGTTACCCCCCCCCTCCCCTCATATGCATGAGTGTTTCCCCGGGTTTTCCCGTTTTCCTCGCGCACAAAGCCCAAAACGCTAAATTTTTAATGGAATTGGCCAAACGTACCAACGGAGGACGTGCGTAATGAACATCTTGAGACTTTGCGAGTTCTCCTTTTTGCACGGCCACTGTGTATTTGTCACAAGACGCCATAGGGGTTGCTGCGGCATTTTAATGCGTGCTCGCAAACATCTCTTGGGTACAATATATAACAAAGACAAAGATCCCCGTATAGCCTTAACAGACTGTAGGGGCAAGTGCTGTTAGCGAGCACCAATGAAGGCCGGAACGGTACACGAGGGGGTGGGTGGCCAGCACCACGCCCGACCGCCTTTGTCTCCCCAGTGGCGATGTTTACACACCGCATCAGGTACTCATTTAAGGCTGAGTCGACCTAGGGGAGGCCCAGGACCGGTTCAGATAATCGTCACTGGTGTCAGCCGTGAGCGGGAATCGAACCCGGGTCGCCAGGTTCATAGCGCAGCGCGCTAACCGCTACACTACCGCTCCCCACAATATATACACACACACACACACGCTTGTCTGAATGAACCAGTGTGCGCGCACGTGTCACACACGACTTCACGTGCAGTCGTAGTAGGTGCTGGCTGATAGCGAGTGTGTCACAACTCGCGTGCATATTCAGGTCTCCGCACCTTTTGTGCGGGATCGAGCTCAATAGGTACCCGCTCGCATCACAGGCACATACGTCAATACATACACACGTACATACCTGCACACCTGTATTTGCTCTACTGCCCTTAATAGGCGCTCGATAACAACACCGCATTCCTGCGTGCATGCGGTGAAAGCATTGATGGGTCTAGAGAGAGCCGATTGAGATGCATTTCTCTGTTTCATATCGGTCTCTGAGTAATGTTTTAAAGACAGACTAATTTTAATGACAGTGCCATGCTGGTCGGCATCTCACGCGTGTGCTGAATTTGTGTTTGTGTTTTAAACGTCCCCACCCCCCGCTCAATGCCAGGTCGATGACGATTCCGAATATAATAATACAGGGTGCTTAAACAAATTTGTAACACTTAAATGGGACTATCGTTTTTTTAATGGAAAAATAACGGAGTATAATCTGTGTAACATAATAACAACTGTAATGTTAACAGCTTCAAAAAGTCAAACAGTCTCTCACTCGTTCGCCATCATTGCCAACGCGTGCCTGGAATCTTCTCCAGGTGGTCTCCAGAGCCCGGAGGCGGCACGTTTCTTGTGGTGTCGTTGCAAATTCTCATAAGTGTTCACATTGTTAGTTGAAGCACCCTGTAGTGACAACACAACGGCAGTGGAGCACTCAACAAGGGAGATCATTTGGAGAAGAGGCGACCCGGGCGAGGAGGAGGTGGAGGAGGGCGAGGGAGGGAGCCATACACAATTATGTTATACACTCTAATATGAAATGTATGAAATAGTATATATCATATTAAACTAACGTCACAAAGCGATGTCTTGTTCAAATTACCATTTGACGGTTGTGCTTGTAGCCCTGAGCCACAGTGGTGGACATTGCACATTTCCA